ATATAGTTTTGAGTTGCTAATTTTACTTCTTTTGTACCATTTTTCAGAACCACTACTTAATGTTCATTGTAGTTAAAATATTTTCCATTAAAATGGAGGCACCAGTTTTCATTTTTTACATTTTTTTTATATGACATTTTTAAGTTTTTTGCTTCTCTCATAGTTGCTTTATATATTGTTAAATGATTAGGTTTGTCTATATCTAAAGCGTGTACATGAAATAAATGTGAAAGAATAAGTTGGTCATTTTTTTTCAGTGGTTATATTAAAATCTTTTTAATTGTTTTGTATTTTGTTTACAACGTGTTGTGGTTTCAAAAAAGGCTATTAGTTGTTTTTTGATTTAACTTAAAATTAGTATTAAAAATTACAAAAGAAGAAGACATAAGAGAAAAAATTATGCACAAATATTTGAAAAATCCCAATAGTAGCTACAACTCGATAGCAAAAGCGTTGCAAATACATCCATACACCGTTAGTCGTGTAATCCAACGTTTTTCTCAAACAAAATCGATCAAACGTAAATCTGGTGGTGGAAGAAAGAAGGGTTTTAAAAAAAGGGTTTAAAAAAAAACTAGTTAGAAAACTGGTTAACAGTTTTAAGACTAACCCACGCCTTTCACTATGTTTTTTGTTCTTAGTCAATCCAATGTTTTTTATAACACGGTAAAAAAAAAATTCAGAAAGATGATATTTCTGCTGCTGAAGTTGCCGTAGTATAAAAGGATTAAAAAAACCAGATAAAATCTAGAAAAAAAGAAAAGTTTTTACCTTTGATGGTAAAACAGCATTTGCAAGTTACCGAAGAAAGTAGTTATCATTTGAAAAACCAATTTCTGAAAGAAGTAGACATTTTTTACAGTGTCCGTCTAGAGTATATAGATGAGTAGACGTGTCAATTTAATCAGGTTGAAGTTTTTAAATGGTCTTTACTTAAATGTAAAGTTGAATGGATTGAAATTATTGAAACTATAACTTTTTTGAAAAATCAATAGAAATCATATTTGATGACAATGAATTGTTCGACGAAATTCGGAGAACTAATTTATATTGCACAAAGGAAAAGTTTTCTTCTTGGAACTCACAGTCTGTTGAATGTGACAAGCAATGGGTTGAAATTTTTTATTAATTCGAAAATAATCATGTTCCTTATAACAATTTGTTAAAATTAGTGGAAACTGCTTTATGTTTGCCAGGTACAAACGATTCCGTAGAGCGATTGTTTTCGATTGCCAATGATACTTGAATGGAAGGGAAATTCCAATTACAATGAAAGCTTTGGTAGCTATTTTGCTTGTTAAATCTAATTTAAGAAAATATAGAAATCTGCAACTACGAGTAAATTTGAAATATCTTATGTCCTAAAAAAAATAATTAAGAGACATCGTTGCCGCTAAACAAAACTATTAAAAAATTTTTTTTTCGGTTTAAAATATTTAACACATATAATAAATAACTGAAAACAAATAGATTTAATTAAAAAAAAATAGAAGCAGATGATGATAAAACAGTAGTAGTCTTAATGCAATTTGGAAATTAACCAAAGCAAGGATATAACAGTAACTCATGAGTTTATTTCTTTAATTATAAAACTCTATTAAATGTCAAGTCTACTAGTAAAGGAGTTTGTAATCAAGATAATAATTGTGATCCTATAAATGACTTAAACAATGACCTTTTTTTTTTTTTTAAAAAAAAAAAATTTCTTTTTAACTTTAGATGAAGAAGATGGGAAAATTTTTAACAAAAAAACAGACATGGCTGCCTAACTAAACAAACTGTTTTTGCTTGAAAACACACTAAATAACCTTTATTAAAGTGATTAAATACATGCTCACTCATTTTCATTTTTTCAATCTGTTGACAGGAAAAGTTCAAATAAACTATTTGGAAACAAGATTCGGTTCTTATCGACAGCTCAAGAGAAAAGAGAATCAGAAAAAAAAACTAAAATTATTAGTAGTTTAAACATTATTTCTACTAAACATGGCAAGATACTGCTTTAAAAATAATTTTCATTCAGAAATAAAGTCTAAGAATAATATCTATATCTATATATATATATATATATATATATATATATATATATATATATATATATATATATATATATATATATATATATATATATATATATATTCTAAATTAGTGACAATATTCGATAATGTACATGTTTCTTCTTTTGAATGCAATTCTCTTATAGTATATTGCAGGCCAAGTTGCTACATAGAAAAAATTGTGTGAGCTTTGAAAAAAAAATTGTATCAGAACATTCATTAGAATTTGATATTGCTTCAGCACATGAATACCTATTTAATTTAGATCGTGGAGGGTTGGGAATTAGCTTACAAACTACAAAAAAACAAGTTGTTTTTTTTTAATTTCTTCTTCTTTGGTATATTCTTAATATGGAATAATAAGGAAGCTGGCAACTTTCATAAATTATTATATAAGAATATTGCTAAAGTTACTTTAATAATAAAAAAAAATAACAATTTATTAGTCTTAATAAGACCTTTGATATGTTTTTTAAAAACTAATTCATGAGAAAAATCTTGTAAAAAAAAGTAAAAAGTTACTTTCAAAATAAATGTGATTGTAATTGTTATTTTATTTATTCGCTTTTTTTTTTCAGATAATTGAAGTTGAACTTTTTTTTTAATCAGATAATTTAAATTGAACGATATACAAAAAAATTATCTTGCAAAAACTTAAAAAAAAAAAAAAAATCTTTTTAAAACAAGAAAAGTATCAATGGACTACTAATGTGAGTATATTCCACATGAGCAAGCCTTCTACTTTAGAAGGCCTTGAAAAAATATAGTAAAGGTCGGTGAGGAATAAACTTACAAAGACCCGTGTTTTTATGGGTCCGATCAGATGAAACTTTTTATAGCGATGGTCATGTTTCAAGCGGGTATTTAAACAGGTACTAATATCCAATCGGCAATTTATGCAACGGTTACCGTAACATTTAAAGTTTATCATGGTTAATTATAATATAAATTTTTATTTTTCTTAGCTTTAAGATGGAAACAATAAGATATAGTTTTTCTATATGTATATATTTATTTTTCTTTAGCTCACTACAAAATATCGAGGTAAGGAATAAGTACAGAAAACGGCGATGTGGAATATATTTACCAAGACCGGTATTTTACGGGTGACGACAGCTAGTAATATTACTAATAGTGTATGAATTTAATTTTAACAGACCCTTAACATTTTGCTTATTTTACACTGATTTAAGCATAAGTTATATAACCACGGTAATTTTTAATTATAATTATTTTGGTATCATTATGTAAAAAAGAGTAATTAAGAAAAACTTTTTGAGTTAAAGGGGAGGGGGTTTTCAGATAGCACACGAAAGCGTATGGGTGGGGAGGGGGTAGAGTTCAATTTAAAATTACGTACACAGAAAAAAAAATTGTTTTAGTATTTGTTAATAACTAAATGTTTTTAAATAACTAACAAATTAAAAAAAAATTAAACCATACCGTTTTATCGTCCATATTTTGCCAGCCAACCAATAGAAAAGTTGATTTCATTTAGAAAAAGAAAATTCTGACTTACGATCCTATTTCCCAACATAAAAGGATGTATGGAATAGGGGAGTTAAGGTTATAATGTCCATCTATGCACACAAATGCCACCCTTTATACACTTGGCCTGAGTAAGGAGACTTGTATTTTATGTAACCCCTTTTTTGAGTCCTCAAAGAACAGGTTCAGCAGTGGCTAATGGGTCGGAGGTCCACCCCCTCAAAAAAACTGTCATTAGTGCCCCAAAAACTTCAAATATTTTCCGCAAGTAATTGTTAAAAAAAGCTCCTTAATTTTGCAAAAGGACTCCTAAATTTGCTAGATCTCCCCCCCTCACCCTAATCAGGGTGTGTAGGAAGGGGTAGCCGCAGCTCCGGGTTTCAGGCTTTGTTTTCAATATTACTCATCTTGCGCAAGACTCATTTTTTACGGACTCACTTAAAAAAGGTGCCTGAAAAACGTCTGCCTAAGTAAAGTTTATTTTTATTTGATTCCTTATTAGAACAAATTTTCAAAAATAAAAAGTAAATTATGACATTCAAAAATTAAAAATTATGACTGTCTGAGATTCGATCTCTGGTCTCCGACATGAAATCGATCGCATTAACCTTTCGGCTGTACACACACAAAATTTATCAAGGAAATTAATTTTATTAAAATAATTATTTTTTACATGTGTCTTTAAAGTTGGGATCCAGTGCCAGAACCAAAGGCTTTGGGGTCGTATAAAATATCTTTGGGAGATTAAGGGGAAGAGGGATCTGAAAAAAGCGTTTAATAAAGTAATGGAGGTGGGGGGATATGATCAACTTTAAAAAACGCACGCTTTAATTTAAAAAATATTACTAAAATTATAAATTTTTTTTCTAAATTGAAACTTTTTTAATTATTCAAAAAAGGAGGAGGGGTATTTGAAAAGCTTACGTACTTTTTAGGGGTGGGGGGGGGGGACTTGATAATACGCGTGGCAACAGGGGAGGGCGTCTAATTTTTGGTGTACGTACTTTGATGACGACCCCTTGATAGAGAGTTATAAGTTTCACAACCTTTTAGGTCAATTAATGTTGTAAAGGTAATTAAAAATAATGCAGTTTTTTCAATAGCTGACAGACTCTACAGTACATGATAATTAATAGTTTTTAGTTAATAATAAAATATCATCAATATAAATATTTTAATAATTTTCAATAACTTAAGAATATTATTAAAAACTATTAAAATAATCATATTGATTGCTTTATTATTATTTCTATTTTATTTATTTTATCATTGGTTTAAATTTGTGTGAAAAATCAGATTTAGATTTTTTTGTTTTTTTTTTAGTTTTTTAAAAACCAATAATGAATAATAATATATATAATATGCAAGTAAAAATTTAAGAAATTTAAAAAGAAAACTTAAAATATTATTTTGATTTAATTTTAATTACAAAAAAAAAAATAATTTCAATCTTACTTATTAAATTTGGATTGAGATTTCCACGCGCTGATAACTCGTCATTGTTGATATTCTCATTAATAGGAACAAATAAACCACTAACTCCTGCATAGTCAAGGTCGTCTGTAAAATCTATATGTGCTTCATTGTACACCACACAGGCAATTAACATGAGAATACATGTAATCATCTTTTTTTAAATAAAAGAAAAATATAGAGTTAACATCAATTTGTCGAAAGTTTAAACAATCTACATTTATTTACATAAATTGCTACAACTTATATATTATTATCTTTGTTTTGTTTCTTTTTTTGTTAAATTCTTTTTTAAATAAGAGTTAATATGAATGAAAATAGATATATAAAAAAAAATATATATATATATAGATTTTTTTTTAATCGAATTTAAATTTATCTTCTCGCTTTGACTTCTTATTAAACGGTTTTTCATGCGTGTGACGAGAAGTAACTAACTTATTAGCGAAATCGTTTGAAACGCTCAAGACAAGCGAAAGTGCTCAATACATGTTACATGTAATCGTAAACTTGAAAAATTTGCTAGGGATGATCACACATTTTTTTTAAATAAAAGTAAGCTCAATGTGTTTACTTGTGCATGTAATTTAATAAATAATAACCAAATATTTTGCATATGCAAAAAATTTGGTTATTTTGTGTCCTGTTTTTTCTTAAGGCATTTCACATAATTGTATTGGTCTATGTTGTTGACAGAATATCTATATGGTTTAAGAAAACAACATATGGTACTGAACTTTGCCAAATTGACTATAGTAATTGTCCGCAACATGCTAAAATAGCAAAGTATATGTTTTAATGCTAAATGAAAATTGAACTTGTTTTTTTTTTATAGAAAGAATGAAATAAAAAAACTTTCTTTTACTTGGGTTAATAGAGAGTTTGTTTGCCCTAAACTATTTAGAAACTCTTCGCACTGAGCCGTCGACACCCGGTCATTCCACTTCTTTTTTTCTTTTTTTATAAATTTCTAGAAACAAAGGACTTCTTTTTAGAAATTGACGACTGGGCTCCTCTATTTCACAATCCGTGTCGCTGGCCCTGTCGCAATGTTCGTTTATAGTTTTTCCGGATATAAAAAAGTTGCTACTGTTAGCAAAAATATTGTTTATGTATCTTTATTCTAATTTTATAACAGATTCGTAAATTAAACAAATTTGTTACTGTATTGCACGAATAAAACTATAAGTAAGAAAACTTAGTTAACTTATAGTATCACATCATTACAAATATATTAAACATTATTTTATTATATTTATAATATATTCAAATTATAAAAGCGCAATTTGAAACTGGACGAATGATGAAAAAAACAAATTACTGTTATTTACTTTTGAATATGCAAAACTATGACATTAATATCTATTTAAAAATAGGAATTTGTTACATATAAATATATGATTACATCAAAATTTTTACTCTAAAAAGCATAGATATTATATTTGGAAACAAGCACTGGTAAGATGCAATATATATATATATATATATATATATATATATATATATATATATATCCTTTTTTTATTTCATGCTGACTAGAGTGTCCCCTAAAAAAATTTATTCGCCATTAAGAATTTGGCTCCTATATAAAAAATGAATAATATACCAGCAAACATTGTTTTAGTGGATATGCAATGGACCTAGAGAGGCAATTCTAGCGGTTAACAAGAGTTTTGCTTATCGGTTATTTAGTGGACCATTTAAGGTATCTGCTTTATAACGCTATAAATCTGCTATAAATAAGTATTCGATGAGCAAAACTACTCAAACTACTCATGCGTCCATTAAAACTCCTTTATAGAACATTTGTTGGGATATAAAAAATGTTGATCTTAGATAAGAGTCACGAAATTTTTTAAAATTTCTTTTTTTTTTATATTTTTAAGTTTTTATTAGTTTGAACGAACCTATATAAATTATCAATGAAGCTTTAGTCAAAAGCAGAATTTTGTTACTTGTTTTTCAAAAAAGTAATCATCTTTTACTTACATTTAATTACCCTAAAAACACTATTTTTAGGGATCATTGCTATTTTAGTGATCATTGCCATTATTAAATTTTGATTCGTTTAATATACATGTAAATTTAATTTTTTATTTTTTTAATTATTGAGGAGTTCCAAGAAGACCTAACGGTCTCAACATAGAACACCATTTAACCAGTTCACGCCTCTTTTCTTACCAATGTCGCTTATTAGGACAGAACTGGCATCAAAATTCAAAGATCTTAGTTCTGAACAAGATTTTTAACCACTGTGGCAAGGCTGCTTATATAATAACATTTTAACATAGTTTTAACATTTTTAGATTGATTTTTTTAAAGCTTTATTTCGCCATCAAATAATAAACACAATCAACACACATATATAAAAAAAATTATTGCCGAAACAAGAAGAAGATAGTTAAGTCTTATAGCCAAGGACTGTTTATTTTAAATTGCATTTATCGTAGTTATAAAATATAATCGTAGATATAAAATATAACAATAACAATTTTTAACATTTGACATCTTTTACAATAACTTTATTAATTAAAGATATAAAAATACAAATAGATAATGTTATAAATTTTAAAAATGTGTTTTGTGAAAAAGATTTAATTTTTAATTTTTGAATTCAACATTTGAAATTTAATGCATCAAATTTGTCAGTAAGAGGTATCGTTTACATTTAGTTTTATTTGCGAACATTTAAATAGAGTGAGATTTAGGAACATGAAAGTTGTTTTCTAAAAATCGACTCGAGGATAATAATGGGTAATTTCAGTAAAATAAGAATCAAAAATTATAGAAGTCCATATTTTGTTTTATACATGAACTGTATAAAAACAAAATAAATAATTAGTTTAAAATTTTAAAAGCAAAAAAATATTTTTTGAGCGCTAGGTTCACTATTTTATTGACTTTAAACATAATTCTGCAAGTATGTTTTTTTTCTCTGTATAGTTTGCTTAGTTTAGTATGATTCGTGCTTACCCAAACTATGTTGCTATAGTTTAAGTAGTTTTGTATAAATAATAAGAACAGAATTTTTAAAGAATTGTTATTTGGGCGTACCTTAACTCTATATAAAATAGTAATATTTTTTTTATAAATGGGTATATATCAGGATTCAGTGATAAATTCACGTCAAAATTAATTCCCAAAAAACTCACAAATGTTTACCTTTAAATATTAGTTATTAACAGTACAAGAAGAATGCTTTTTTGCTTTATTCGATTTATAAAATCTTTGAGAACGTAGTTTTCAAATATAATTTGTTATATGTAAACCATTCATTTCTTTTTTATTTCTTTTTCTTTTTTTATTTACCATTTGAAAATTAGTTTTGACATCTTTATAAGATCAAAAAGCGATTTGCTCTTGTGGTCGTAAAAGTGCTTCAGCCGGAAGCATATTTTAAAACCCTATACTGGTTCAGAGTAGGCAGAAATATGAGCTATCTGATTCGCTGATTTTGAAAAAGGGACAAATGCACTTTTGGTGAAAAAAATAATAGAAATCAAAACAAGCATAATTTCAAAGTAAATTTCAAAGTAATGATAAACTAAGTTTATCAATACAGTTTTGTATTATCATTAACACATTTCTCTTCAGAGCATTTAAAAGGCTTAAAAATGTATTTGTACAAGAAAATTTTCATTCGTAAAAATCTCAAAATTTCAATAAAGTTTATCTTGATGATGGAGATTTTATTGATAAAATTGTTTAAACAACAGATATATCCGTTGTTAATTTATAGAAATGGAAAAAAATGCAGACATTAAATTAAATTCGAAAAGATCAATAAATGTATTTCTCGTAAAATGTAAACGTCCGTGGCCTTGAAGCATAATCAAATACAAAGTTTATATGCAGTTGTACCAGACTACAAATGGCAGATAAAAATGTTCACAAAGTGTTTAAGGAATATGTCTTACTAGAGTTATGCACTAAAACTATATACCAGTCTTCACAAAATCAATGTTAAAACAGAATCTCGTCAGAGTTAATTTATTAACATGGCATGTGAATATATAAACTCTGAGGAGATTTTGTTTTCATGTTTTGTTTGAAACTTAACTTTAGGGAGACTGGTATATATTTTTGTAGCATAACTCTAATTAAATATCATCCTTAAAACATTAAACACTTTGTGAAAATTTAGAAAAAGTTAGGCAGGACACATTTACTTATATATAAATTAAAAAATGACAGTTGAATAATATTAATTAACAGATGATATTGTTATTCTATTTTAAAATTTAACTAAAGAAATGAAATATATGTGTTTGTCTACTAAACAGTAATTTTCTGTACGGTTAAAAATAAATACTGACTGATACCATATAAAGGTGGATTATAGCATTAAAAAAATTGCTGATTGCAGCACTTTTTTGTGTTATACTAATTGAACAAAAAATTGATTTAAGTAAACAAAATTAAGTGATGAAAATTAAATTAATTAATGAAAAAAGAGTTATAAAGAAAAGATAATAAAACTATGAAAAAAGAGTTAGCTATGTGTCAAATGTGTGTTTTTGTTAGTTGGGTTGTAGCCTTGATTGATTAGTTAATTGTAAAAAGTTATACTTATTGAAGTAAAATTACCCGAGTTTTCCATAAAAATTAAAAAAAAAAATTAAAAAAAAAGTTTACAGTTCTACAACGTTTTGTAATCTGTTAATTACTAGATGATCTTGCGTTTAAAGCTAAATTGTAAATGCGAAAAGATTTGTAAATATGTTTCTCGTGTCCCTGTTCTGTGAAGATTACTCAATACTAAGTTCTTATGCAGTTGTATCATTTAAATTTTTGCAAAATGATAGTTTTTGCTGGTGCATTACAGAATTAGCTAACACGTTCCATGTGAATCTACGAACTCGGAAGAAGTTGGTTTTTAACCAAAATTTTGAGAAGGCTAAATTTTGATTATGAGTACATCAATATTTTTCATTACTTAATTCTATTAAAACATACTTCTTAAACCTTTTAATACTTTGAGAAGATTTAGAAAAAACTTAGAAAGTAAGATTAACTTACATAAAAAAGAATATTTATACTCTATTTGAAAAGTATTGAAGTCAAGAAATTTAACCATATGAAGGTGAATTATGGCATTTATTGTAATAAAAACAACTTCATCAAAACAAAATTTTCCATTTGAAGAAGCAAGTTTGTAATAAGAACTTATCAATAT